TGAAGCAAGTTCACCCTGACACTGGTATCTCCAGCAAAGCCATGGGCATCATGAATTCGTTCGTTAACGACATCTTCGAGCGCATCGCCACCGAAGCTTCCCGCCTTGCCCACTACAACAAGAAATCGACCATCAGCTCTCGCGAGATCCAGACGGCCATCAGGCTGCTTCTGCCCGGTGAACTGGCTAAACACGCCGTGAGTGAAGGAACCAAGGCTGTGACCAAGTACACCAGCAGCAAGTAAACTCACTTTGTGGGTTTACCGCCAAAACAAAAACCAACGGCTCCTTTAGGAGCCACCAAATGTCATGAAAGTCAATTATTAACGTAATATGAGTTTTGTTAAAAATGTTTTCCTTGAATTTCATTGTCAACGCGAGAGAATTTTCTTTTTTTGCATTTTTTTTTTTTAAAGTGACCGTGCGAACTACTTTTTATATCGAGGCGAAAGAGAATATCAGAAATGACAAGGACTTAACAACTCTAGGTCCTAACTGCGAAGTGTATGGTAAATGATTTTTTTCTTTCAAAATATTACAAAGGATATCGTTGTGAAGTAGCAGTTCTTTAATCACAAACGGTAACTGCTCGAACTTCAGAATACCCAGCTTTGTGCGTCTTTAAATATAGGTGTTCCCGAGGTCGCCAAATTAGATAGAACCCACACATTCAAATATATATTCTTCGTTCTTCAGTAAACCTAAATTCAAATTGCTATTAAAAGTCATATCTTAATTCCTCGTTCTTCAACCGTAATTCAAATTGGATATCACTGCGCATTTCGACTTCACTGGCGAGGGAACTGACAGATTCAAACTTCGAATCTTCGTCTGGAAGCAATCGATTTGTTGACGTTCAAAAGTGGCCGGGTATTGTGAAGATGTTCCTCTACGAACAGTTCAAATTTTTTTTAACGATCCATTACTTGACGCGGCAGGATTTTTCAAATCAAGTACATGCGAGCTGTTATTGATCGAGCGGGTAGGCTAAGCTAATTCTAGCAATAGGGCAAACTTTCACCAAAGGCCGATTTTCTCTTTAACGTTCGAAGGTCCATACATTTACTATTATATAAAAAAAAACTTCCTGCCATGGGAGTCACTCCAACTGCCTAAGCATAAACAAGCCTGCGTAGGTAATGGTTTTGTTTCAACTTTAAACACAAGCGGTAAATCGAGTCGCTTCGCCGCTTATTTCACGCATCAAAGCGCACAAAAACCGCCAGCAACACAGAGCTTATTGCCCCTCAGATTGACAAATTTTGTGAAATGCAGGCAGATCCAATTTGTCAGCGCTTTAGTGTGCACCTCTCGATCTATCGGGCATATTTGTCATGGCACGTAGTTATATAAATTGTTCGAGATAAACAGGGAAAAGTTGTTGCCTATTCGAAAATTGACCCACAAGCCTCACTAGGCGCTTTATATTCCTTCACAGCGACGACTTTCCCATAAACCCCAGTTTGATTGATTATAAAGCGACCTAAAACTATAGTGAAGGCCACAATCAGAATTGTCGAAGACGATGTAAATACTCAGTTGGTCATAACTTTTACTTAAATGTGGTGGCTCCTAAAGGAGCCGTTTGATTAAATGAAGAGGTGATCTCCTCTTTATTTCTTGGCGGCTTTCTTCGGCGATTTCGTCGCTGCTTTCTTGGCGGGCTTTTTAGCAGCGGGCTTCTTCGCCGCAGCTTTTTTGGCCGCGGGCTTCTTCGCTGGTTTTTTAGCTGCGGGTTTCTTCGCTGCGGGCTTTTTAGCTGCAGGTTTCTTCGCGGCTGGTTTTTTAGCGGCAGGTTTCTTTGCAGCCTTCTTGGCCGCTGGTTTTTTCGCTGCTTTCTTAGCGGCTGGCTTCTTTGGTTTGGCAGCGGGCTTCTTCTTTGCAGCTGGCTTTTTCTTTGGCTTTTTCTCCTTCTTTTCCTCCTTGGGCACTTTGAAGGAACCAGAAGCACCGACTCCCTTGGTGTGGACAAACTTTCCACTAGCGGTGCCCCTCTTCAAAGCCATCTTCAAGTGCGTACTGCCCTCACCAACCTTGTAGTTGGCTTTGATGTACTTCTCTATGGCTTGGCGGGAAGAACCATTTCGCTCTTTCAACGCCAAAATAGCAGCTTTGATCATCTCTGCATAAGGTGGATGATCGGCTGGCTTTTTGGGCGCAGCCGGCTTCTTTTTAGCGGCGGAATTTCCTTCAGACATGTTGTATGTAGTAGAACCTTTGGAACTAAGACAAAATAATGATTGCTTGGAGCGCGCGTGGAAATATTATTCCTCATATACGAACCACTGAGGAAACAGGGATGTTACAAAATGGCGTCGTCCAAACTGTGTTAGTTTACTTGACATTTCGGTCGATAACAAGCTACCTTGATAACTTCAGATCTTTCCCAATAAAAAATAGGATAGCTACGTTATATAACTAAGTGTATATGGAGAATATAGTTTGATTAACTCAAAGTAAGAAAGACATTTCACGTTAAAAAGTCTGTGGAGCAGTGAGATTCCAAAAAGAACTGTGGAGAAATGACGAAAGAAGTTCTGTTTAAGTCGGTTTTCATCGCTGAATTAGATATTTAAAGAAAGAAGAGGTCCCAAATTTTGCATGTGCTTGAAAAAATGAGCTTTTTAGTGCAAGTTCAAAGACAGAGCGGCCTCTATATTTGAACAAGAATAACAGAACTACAACATCCGCCATTTCGTACGTGATAAGTGGTATGCCAAATGTCTCCAATGAAGAAAATGACTTGAAGATAACAAGAATATTGAAGAAATAGTTTGAAAAGTAATGGTGATGGTACAAGTTTCTGTGTTTCGCGTAACAGAGTTGTCTTGCTATTCTGACAAGCTTGTTTTACATGAATCAGTTGCGCGCTCTCGACTCCGAGTCAGATTTTACGCCAAGAGTGGAGTCAGCAAAGAGAGATGAATTCTCAAAATTCAAGTTTATTCAAAAAGCAGAAATTGCAAACCAGTTGGCGATGTAATGTTCATGCTAAACACTGCAAAAGGTTTCCCGTACGTTCTGCAATGAGGTTTGAAGCTCAGAACTATGCGAAATATCGAGTCTGTTCAATTATTGATCGACCGAGAGTAAATTTAACGAGGCAAGGTTGAAGGTTCAGGTTTCCGACAAACCAAGCACCCCAGAAAGAAAAACTTCAAATTTACATACAGTTTTGGTTGGAAAGTAGGAGTCCTAAGTTATGCCTGTGTATGAAAATATGAGCCTTTCGATGCAAATTCAAGGACCGAGATGTCTTTAAGATTGAACAAGAAGATAAATGTTACAACGTCCAGCATTTCATTCGCAAACTTGATTTCTCAAATAAAGTAAATGTGGTTCTGCTGGAAATTGATATTTGATGAAACATGAGCCAAAGTATGAACTCAAGAAACCCACGCAAAAGGTGACGAAACTTGTCTTTAAGCGTTGATGATTTGCATAATCCTTGCGCCATAATTACATGGCTAAATGAAAGAAAAGAACATGGAAATAAAGAATTGTGAAAATTGTCTGTTTTGGCTCTCTAGGAAATGAAATTCTGGTGTCTTTCTATACACAGATCAAATCTTTCTATTGGGTTTAAACTTGTCGCTACGCAGGCTCAAAGCAAATGAGGTATGACAATTCCAGTTTTTTTTAATTCCTCATTTCAAACTCAAACTTGGGAATTTATGGGTTGGTTATTTAGGGGCTCGTAGTATGGTCACTGCTTTTATTCATTTGGTGGCTCCTAAAGGAGCCGTTTGTGTTTTGTAGTAGTGAAGTTCACTTATGCTCGTTCTCCGCGGATTCGGCGGGCCAACTGAATGTCCTTGGGCATGATGGTGACACGCTTGGCGTGGATGGCGCACAAGTTGGTGTCTTCGAACAGACCAACAAGGTAAGCCTCGCTAGCTTCTTGAAGAGCCATTACAGCCGAGCTCTGGAAACGCAGATCAGTCTTGAAGTCTTGAGCAATTTCTCGCACAAGACGCTGGAAGGGCAGCTTGCGGATCAACAGCTCGGTGGATTTCTGGTAACGACGGATCTCTCGAAGAGCGACTGTACCAGGCCTGTAACGATGAGGTTTCTTGACTCCACCGGTAGCAGGAGCGCTCTTACGAGCTGCCTTTGTGGCTAGCTGTTTGCGTGGGGCTTTTCCACCGGTTGACTTTCGTGCTGTTTGTTTGGTACGTGCCATCTCGTTTAACGATTCAGAATAACTGGTAATAGATCTTTGAACTTAGAAATGGATTTATACCTGGCGGGCTTGCTTGCGATTGGCTCAAAATAAATGGATTTGATTGGTCAGATACGAAAGCTGTAAATAATTTAACGGATCTGTGATGTTATCTTGATCCTAAGGACCATTTTAGATAATTTGAACATAAGTTTAGTAGTATTCATGATAAATTTATCCTGGAAGATAGCTTAAAGGCAACACTTTTCTTAACACGGTTTAGAAGTGACTTTCGAATGGAACAGAGGTTTATTCTAACGGAAAATATGCACTCGCGGGAACTCCGTTTGATATATGTTAAGACATGTCAATATTACAGCGATAATTATGTTTACATATTTGTCTGAACCAATCGGAAAAGTTATTTGCAGTGTGTTTTCTAAGAGGTATTATCTTTCTTTATATAAACTACCAGCGTTCGGTAATTTACTTTAACTCTAACACACGAGAAGTAATCAACATGTCTGGTCGCGGTAAAGGAGGTAAAGGTCTTGGAAAAGGAGGCGCCAAGCGTCACCGAAAGATCCTTCGTGATAACATCCAAGGTATCACCAAACCAGCTATCCGTCGTCTTGCTCGCCGTGGCGGCGTCAAGCGAATCTCTGGCCTGATCTACGAGGAGACCCGTGGTGTTCTCAAAGTTTTCCTTGAGAACGTGATCCGTGATGCTGTGACATACACCGAGCACGCCAAGAGGAAGACTGTGACAGCCATGGATGTGGTGTACGCTTTGAAGAGACAAGGCCGCACTTTGTACGGTTTTGGCGGTTAGACAGACCCCCCGGACACACAAAAAAACGGCTCCTTTAGGAGCCACCAAATATAAGAAAAGTCATGACCAATAAATTTCTTTCCCTTGGTAACGCCATTGTACTTCGCGTATTCTTTGCTTACACTGATAAAAAAAATATCGCGCGGGTCACGGTAAAATGAGAGCGGCATATCGTGCGCAGAGAAAGATTGAAGAAATAGCCCAAGAATTATTACAGTGACATGGCTCGCTTTCTTTTTCGCTCTCTAGCTTTTATACTGCATTTAAATATTAAATACAACCATTTTATTTTTGCGAAAAGCTACACATTGTTTAATTACATTCCCCAGTACCGCCCGTTAAAAAGCTACCTTTCCTATCTGATTTTTTGTTTAGTGGGTCATAGCAACAATCATTGAGAGAGTAAAATCAATATCATACCAGCTCATCTTGAAACTGGATTTGAGCGCAATTTCTTAAAACCGCCAGCAAATTCGTAAACAAAGATTTATTGAACGCTTTTGGCGCAAGTTGCACACATTTGCGTGGAATAAAATATCTCAAGGCGTTATATCTATATTTTTGTCGCGCGAAAACTTTTTGAAGTGCACTTGGTCCTTGAAGTGGATTACAATCCTTTAGATTTTTCACTTTATAATACAATCTTGGAAATTGGGGAGGAAGGGTTACGTTACGAGGTGCTATTGTATAATAATCATTTGGTAGTTTTTTACCTTATCATATCTAGTTGGTCAAGACTTTAGTAATATTTGGTGGCTCCTAAAGGAGCCGTTTTTGTTCGTTTTAAAGTTGACTTAAGCTTTGGGCTTCTTCTCAGTCTTCTTGGGCAGAAGTACAGCCTGGATGTTGGGAAGAACACCTCCCTGTGCGATGGTGACACCGGCGAGCAGTTTGTTCAACTCCTCGTCATTACGGACAGCAAGCTGAAGATGACGAGGAATGATTCTTGTCTTCTTGTTGTCGCGAGCAGCGTTACCAGCCAACTCGAGGATCTCAGCGCTCAAATATTCAAGCACGGCAGCCAAGTACACTGGAGCACCAGCGCCAACTCGCTGAGCGTAATTGCCTTTGCGGAGAAGACGGTGGATTCGACCAACTGGGAATTGAAGCCCTGCTCTGGATGAGCGGCTTTTGGACTTGGTGCCCTTAGCTTTACCTTTACCGCGACCAGACATGTTGATGTAAATTGCTTGGATAGCTTTCAATAAGGATGAATATAGGTGACTTGAACTAACTATGATATTTATAGTTCGTTCTTAATGCAGGAAGGATCAAAAAGCACCAATCATTTTCAAGTTTTCTGTGATATAAATATCATTGTAATCAGACCCGCATTGTAATTTTATGAATAAAGAGAGAATGACATGCAAATTGACCCCAGGGTCGGTAAAGTAACAAGCCAATCAGTGATCGAGACTTTCGATCCGTATGGTAATACATCCCTTTATGATTCTGTTATAAATAGAAAACGAGTAGCGCTGCCAATCTATTCATCTTTGTGATTAACCAAGATGGCACCAAAAGTTGCAGGAAAGAAAGGCGAGAAGAAAGCCGGAAAGGCTAAAGCCATCGCTGATGGAAAGAAGAAGAGGAGAGGAAAGAGAAAGGAAAGCTATGCTATCTACATCTACAAGGTGTTGAAGCAAGTTCACCCTGACACTGGTATCTCCAGCAAAGCCATGGGCATCATGAATTCGTTCGTTAACGACATCTTCGAGCGCATCGCCACCGAAGCTTCTCGCCTTGCCCACTACAACAAGAAATCGACCATCAGCTCTCGCGAGATCCAGACGGCCATCAGGCTGCTTCTGCCCGGTGAACTGGCTAAACACGCCGTGAGTGAAGGAACCAAGGCTGTGACCAAGTACACCAGCAGCAAGTAAACTCACTTAATTGTGGGTTTCCCGCCAAAACCAACGGCTCCTTTAGGAGCCACCAAATGTTATGAAAGTCAATTGTCAACGCAATATGAGTTTAATTGAAAATGTTTCCCATAAATTTCATTTTCGTCAACTTGAGAAAATCGTTTCTTTCTGCACGTCTGGGGGTTTTAAACGGACCGCGCGAACTACTTTCTTTATCGAGAATAAGTGGCGAGGCTCAACAACTATAGGTCCTAAAGAGACTGAAAATGGTATCGTAAATTTTTCTCTTTCAAAATGTCACAAATTATATTATGTTAAGAAAGGGCAGTGTTTTAATTTCGAACGTTAACTGTTCGATTAAGCGCGATCGAAAAGTTCAAAGCTATTCCTAACGGTCTACGTAGTTGACGCGGCGGGATTTTCAATCAAATGCATGGGAGCGTGTATTGATCGAGCCCCGAGACAGAGGTGGAATAAGCTAACTTGATAAAAAGAGTTCAACTTTCACAAAAAGTCCCTTTTCTTTTTCGCTCTAAACAGACCATACATTGTCCGTATCGTGCCACTTGTGTCTCCTTAGTTAGTGTACTGCCCCGTGGTTTTGCGTGGTCCTGCTCGGGGCATCTTGTCAGTGTGTGTCATTTTGTGCGTGTTCGTTTTGTCAGCGTGAGTGAGTTGGTGAAAGAGAGTGTTTCATTTTTGGTGTGAGCGGTTCGATTCCCGAGGGAAGTTGGCGCCTGGTGGCCCTCCGTTTATAGGTGTAGAGAGGCAGGCCTTGCACTGCCCTCGCGGGAGCTTGGCCGAACATTTACTGTTATTTAAAAAGCTTTCAACAGTAGGAGTTACCTCAGCTTCCCAAACATAAACAAGCCTGCGTTGGTAACGGGTTTGTTTGAACTTAAAACGCGACGAGCGGCAGATCGAGTCGCCAGTAGGAAAATTATAATTTTTCGTCCCAAGCCTTCCAGAGCCTCGCCGCTTATTCTCACGCTCAAAGGCTCACAAAAACCGCCAACAACACAGAACCTATTGTTCCTTATTGACAAATTTTGTGATATACAGTCTGACCTAAGTTGTCAGCGGTTTAGTGTGCACCCTTCGTTCTGCTTGGTATATTTGTCGTAGCGTGTCTTTATATAAATTGTTCCCGATATACAGAAAAAGTTGTTGCCCGTTAGCCTCACTACGCGCTTTATATCTCACTTTTAGCGAATTTTTCTCCATAAACCCCAGTTTGATCGGTGAGAAGGCGAAAACAAACTATAGTGAAGGGCACTATCGGAATGGTGAAGGCCATTATAATTATCGAAAATGGCGTAAATACTCAGTTGGTAAAAACTTTTGGTTAAATGTGGTGGCTCCTAAAGGAGCCGTTTAATTAAGTGGAGAGTTGATCTCCTCTTTTATTTCTTGGTGGCCTTCTTCGGTGATTTCGCTTTCTTGGCGGGCTTTTTAGTAGCGGGCTTCTTTGCTGTTTTCTTGGCTGCCGGCTTCTTCGCTGGTTTTTTAGCTGCGGGTTTCTTCGCTGCGGGCTTTTTAGCTGCAGGTTTCTTCGCGGCTGGTTTTCTAGCGGCAGGTTTCTTCGCTGCCTTCTTGGTCGCTGGTTTCTTTGCTGCTTTTTTAGCGGCTGGCTTCTTTGGTTTGGCAGCAGGTTTCTTCTTTGCAGCTGGCTTTTTCTTTGGCTTCTTCTCCTTCTTTTCCTCCTTGGGCACTTTGAAGGAACCAGAAGCACCGACTCCCTTGGTGTGGACAAACTTTCCACTAGCGGTGCCCCTCTTCAAAGCCATCTTTAAGTGCGCCATTTCCTCAACAACCTTGTAGTTGGCTGTGATGTACTTCTCTATGGCTTGGCGGGAAGAGCCATTTCGCTCTTTCAACGCCAAAATAGCAGCTTTGATCATCTCTGCATAAGGTGGATGATCGGCTGGCTTTTTGGGCGCAGCCGGCTTCTTTTTAGCGGCGGAATTTCCCTCAGACATGTTATGTTTAGTAGAACCTTTGGAACTAAGACAAAATAATGATTGCTTGGAGCGCGCGTGGAAATATTATTCCTCATATACGAACCACTGAGGAAACAGGGATGTTACAAAATGGCGTCGTCCAAACTGTGTTAGTTTACTTGATATTTCGGTCGATATTAAGCTAATTTGATAACTTCAGATCTTTCCCAATAAAAAATAGCATTGCTACGTTATATAACTAAGTGTATATGGAGAATATAGTTTGATTAACTCAAAGTAAGAAAGACATTTCACGGTCAAAAGTCTGTGGAGCAGTGAAATTCCAAAAAGAACTGTGGATAAATAACAAAAGAAGTTCTGTTTAAGTCGGTTTTCATCGCTGAATTAGATATTTAAAGAAAGAAGAGGTCCCAAATTTTGCACGTGCTTGAAAAAATGAGAATTTTAGTGCAAATTCAAAGGCAGAGCGGCCTCTACATTTGAACAAGAATAACAGAACTACAACATCCGTCATTTCAGACGTGACCTTCATTATATGCCAAATGTCTTCAATGAAGCAAATAACTTTAAGAGAGGAAGAATATTGAAGAAATAGTTTGAAAAGTAATGGTAATGGTGATGGTAATGGTACAAGTTTCTGTGTTTAGTGTGGCACATTTGTCTTGCTATTCTGACAAGCTAGTTTTGCACGAATCAATTGCGCGCTCTCGACTCCCAGTCAGATTTCACGCCAAGAGTGGAGTCACTCAATGGAGATGTATTCTCAAAATATAACTTTATTCACAAAGAGGAATTTGCAAATCAGTTGGCAATGTAACGTTCTTGCTAAACGCTGCAATAGGTTTCCTGTACGTTCTGCAATGAGGTTTGAAATTCAGAACTATGCGAAATAGCAGACTATTTGTGAATATCCAGTCTGTTCAATGATCGATCGATTGAGGTCAATTTTACGAGGCAAGGTTGTTGGTTCGGGTTTCCGACAAACCAGGCACCCCAGAAAGAAAAACTTCAAGTTTACATAGATCATAAAGTTATGGTAGGAAAGAAGGAGCACTAAGTTATGCTGGTGTGTAAAATTATGAGCCTTTCAACGCAAATTCAAGGACCGAGTGGCCCCCAAGTTTGAGCAAGAGGAACAAAGCTACTACGTCCAGAATTTTCGCAACCTTGATTTATCGAATGAAGTAAATGTGGTTATATTACAAAGTGATACTTAAAGAAACATGTGAACCAAAGTTTTAATCTAAAAAGCCTATCCAAAAGATGTCGATAAGCGCCGATGATTTGCATAATACTAGCGCCAAAATTACAAGGCCAAATGTACAACATAAAAATGAAGAACATTGATAAATTAGTATGTTCTGGTTAACTTGGAAATGAAAAAACTTCTGTGTTTTGATACACAGATTAAGTCAGACATAATTTCTATGGGGTTTAAACTTGTCGCTAAGCGGGCTCAAAGCAAACGTGTTCTGAAAAACTTCAGTTGTTTTCATTTCTCATTTCAAAATTCAATCATAAGGAACTCTTGGTTTATTTAGAAGCCCAGGGAATTCTAAGTTATTCGGGGGCTCATAGTATGGCCATTGCTTTTATGCATGTGGTGGCTCCTAAAGGAGCCGTTTTTCATTTGAAGTGTAGTCCAATTATGCTCGTTCTCCGCGGATTCGGCGGGCCAACTGAATGTCCTTTGGCATGATGGTGACGCGCTTGGCGTGGATGGCGCACAAGTTGGTGTCTTCAAACAGACCAACAAGGTAAGCCTCGCTAGCTTCTTGAAGAGCCATTACAGCCGAGCTCTGGAAACGCAGGTCAGTCTTGAAATCTTGAGCGATTTCACGCACAAGACGCTGGAAGGGCAGCTTGCGGATTAACAGCTCAGTGGATTTCTGGTAACGACGGATCTCACGAAGAGCGACTGTACCAGGCCTGTAACGATGAGGTTTCTTGACTCCACCGGTTGCAGGAGCGCTCTTCCGTGCTGCCTTTGTGGCGAGCTGTTTGCGTGGAGCTTTTCCACCGGTTGATTTTCGTGCAGTTTGTTTGGTACGTGCCATCTTGTTAAGCGACTCAGAATAACTGATTATAGAAAATTGTACTTAGAATAAAATTTATACCTGGCGGGCTTGCTCGTGATTGGCTCAAAATAAAGAGATTTGATTGGTTATGAACGAAAGCTGTGAATAGTTGAACGGATCTGTGATGCTATTTTGACCCGAAGGACTCCGTTGCTTAAACATAAGTTGAGTATTATTAACATTCAATTCTTCCTGAAATATAACTAGAAAGAAAAACTTTTCCTTAAAATAGTTCACAAGTGACTTTCGGATGGAACACAGTTGTTTTCTATTGGAAAATACACGCGCGCGGGAAAACCGTGTGATTTATGTTAATACATGTTGATATATTACAGTGATAATTATGTTTTGATATTTGTCTCAACCAATCGCAACAGTCATTTGGATTATGTTTTCTAAGAGGTCTTATCTTTCTGAATATAATCTACCAACGTTCGTTAACTTGCCATAACTCTAACGAGAAGTAATCAACATGTCTGGTCGCGGTAAAGGAGGTAAAGGTCTTGGAAAAGGAGGCGCCAAGCGTCACCGAAAAATCCTTCGGGATAACATCCAAGGTATCACTAAACCAGCTATCCGTCGTCTTGCTCGTCGTGGCGGTGTGAAGCGAATCTCTGGCCTGATCTACGAGGAGACCCGTGGTGTTCTCAAAGTTTTCCTTGAGAACGTGATCCGTGATGCTGTGACATACACCGAGCACGCCAAGAGAAAGACTGTGACAGCCATGGACGTGGTGTACGCTTTGAAGAGACAAGGCCGCACTTTGTACGGTTTTGGCGGTTAGAAAGACTCTCCTGAAACTAAACAAACGGCTCCTCTGGGAGCCACCAAAGATAAGAAAAGTCATAACCAATAAATGCGGTCACATTCCGAGCGCGTCACGATATGGGGCAGAAGCACGTTGAAGAGAATATTGCACGTCAGCATAACATAGGTCCCCAAACTCGCTTTTTGTTTGTTTGTTTTTTTTTTTTCTCACTAACTCTGTTTCTTTATCTAAAATTTTCATACAACCTATAAATAACATAGTTCAAATACTTTCATGTCATGTTAACCTTGGAGTTCACGTCACCAATCAAAGGAAAAAAATTTGCCCACAAACAAGTCTTCTACCTTCGTGTTATTTTGCTTGCACTCTTAAAGCGCACAAATTTTAAATATAGAGTGGCTAGTTAAGGTTACTCCCCTTCCCCTATAGAATTAAAATCAGACGAACTTTAATGTCCCAAGAAATTATCAATTGTATCAATAGTAACAGTAAAAATGGCGCGGCTGTTGTGACCGTTAATGATTCAGGTACAGAAGCATAAATCGTTCGAAGCAATGAAATTCTCTTTTTATTTATTCAGAAGCTAAAATGTCCTGGATCATTCGAGTATGCGTTTGAATCCTTTTAGGAAGTTAATCTCTCCCTCACCCTAATTCAAGGCCTCGTAAGTTATCAGTCCATCAATGAAATAGCAAGGAAGAGTATTGAAATGACTCCAGCTGACGTTGTTATCAGCTAGAAATTCTTAAAAAAGTTAGCAACTTATGTAGTTAGTCAAGACTTTTGTATTATCTGGTGGCTCCTAAGAGAGCCGTTTTTTAAAAATGGCCAAGGCTAATTTATGCCTTGGGTTTCTTCTCTGTCTTCTTGGGCAGAAGTACCGCTTGGATGTTGGGAAGAACACCTCCCTGTGCGATGGTGACACCAGCGAGCAGTTTGTTCAACTCCTCGTCATTACGCACAGCCAGCTGAAGGTGACGGGGAATAATTCTGGTTTTCTTGTTGTCGCGAGCAGCGTTGCCCGCCAACTCGAGGATCTCAGCGCTCAAATATTCCAGAACAGCAGCCAAGTATACTGGAGCACCTGCGCCAACTCGCTCAGCGTAATTGCCTTTGCGGAGAAGACGGTGGATTCGACCAACTGGGAATTGAAGCCCTGCTCGGGATGAGCGGCTTTTGGACTTAGTGCCCTTAGCTTTACCTTTACCGCGACCAGACATGTTTGTCGTAAAATGCTTTAACTGTCAGCTATCAGAATAACGATTCACGAGAAAAGTCTGATATCTAGAGTTCGTTAGATATGCTGGAGGGATCGAAAGGCACCAATCATATTGAGTTTGGTGTGGTTTACACAATTCTTTTATTGACCTTGGGGTCATTATAACAACTAGCCAATCAATGATCGAGACTTTCGATCCGTATGGTAATAGATCCCTTTATTCTGTTATAAATACAAAATGAGTTTCGCTGCCAATCTATTCATCTTTGAGATTAACCAAGATGCCAGTAAAAGTTGCAGGAAAGAAAGGTGAGAAGAAAGCCGGAAAGGCTAAAGCCATCGCTGATGGAAAGAAGAAGAGGAGAGGAAAGAGAAAGGAAAGCTATGCTATCTACATCTACAAGGTGTTGAAGCAAGTTCACCCTGACACTGGTATCTCCAGCAAAGCCATGGGCATCATGAATTCGTTCGTTAACGACATCTTCGAGCGCATCGCCACCGAAGCTTCCCGCCTTGCCCACTACAACAAGAAATCGACCATCAGCTCTCGCGAGATCCAGACGGCCATCAGGCTGCTTCTGCCCGGTGAACTGGCTAAACACGCCGTGAGTGAAGGAACCAAGGCTGTGACGAAGTACACCAGCAGCAAGTAAACTCACTTAATTGTGGGTTTCCCGCCAAAACCAACGGCTCCCTTAGGAGCCACCAAATGTTATAAAAGTCCATGACCAATGCTATATATGTTTTTTTTATTGCGAGCCGCTTAATGTTGCTTCTGGAATTACTTTCTTAGACATTTTAAAACTCTTGGGGAAGATTTTAGCGTTCCATCTAAGAATGTCAAGAATTCTTGGGCCGGCTTTTGTGTACATTGTTCAGTCGTTTGTCAATTTTTAACTTTTTCAGAGAAGTAAACGTAGTGAAAATATAATTTTTACCGCGCCCTACTATGCCCGGCATAAATATTTTGAAGAAGATATTACCCGACATAAACATCGTTTTAGCACTGAGTCATGATCCGGTTAAAGCCTGAATTGTAGTCGTTAACTCCGTAAGCAACACGTGCGTCGAAAGGAGACCGCACAAATGCGGAATCGCTTGTGAGGTAGATATCAATTCCGCCACACTGGATGTAAGTGAAGCGTTTTTTTTTTTCACAATAGAAAGTCATTGTCAAATTGGATTAGGGAACAAAATATTAGTACCCTGAGCGTAATAATAAGCGAAAAAATATTCCGCGGCGCTCAACGCAATGGGCTTGAGTTTTTCACACACTCCACGTTAGCTCTTGCGCTTGCATCGCTCCCGATTTAATACAACATCCAACATCTCAAATCCAATTCTCTTTTCCTGCAATACAGTTCTCGTAATTATAGCTCTGAGAATTTGGTTTTAAATCAAACAATATTCCCCTGTTAATACTTTTCTTTCATTTCATCGCCCTTCTTTTCGATCATGATGTATTGCTAATGAAAGGAGAGGCCGAGGTACTCTTTAGACAAAGGGACTGGCACTAGTGAGCAAGTGAGCATGATGACACGGACTTTATAGGAAAATACGAAGGAAAAAAAATAGTGTTTTTAAAATTTTGAAAAGCTTTTCCTCAAAAAAATTTCCTTAATAGGCCAAAATGCATTAGAATGCGTTTTAAAAATGCTTAAAATTTTCCAGTTGAGATTCTGCAAAACACTTCTTTGGCTGGTTCTTTGTGTCGCTGTCAAAGCTGGTGTTTTGGGTACCAAAAACACGGTGACAGTGCAGATAGAAGAGCACCGACTCTGAAATAAGGACGGGGGATAGTATTTCTTCGCAGAACATACGTATTTTTTAAAGGTCGGGCAATTTTATTTATTCTTAATTGTTCTATCGTGTCGGGAGTCATCTCACTTCTCAGATTTTCCGTCTCCACTCAAGACGTTTTAAGTTGCGAACCAGGGCCAAAGTTTTGGCGGAAAATCATTTAAAAGGCATTAATAAAGGGAGTAAGTTTCTTAAGTAACTGAGATGCTGCTTCGGTGGATGGAATGAAGAAATAAATTGATATAAAACCAAATGTATTTGACATTTTGCATTCATGGACTGGTTCTAAATAGATTCCCCCGTGGGTCACATGCCTCATGACGTCACATCGCGGGAATAAATAGCGCGAAATCTGCTGCATGATTCGATCGAAAGTTACAATCATGGCTACTTCCTCGCAAAGTACAGCTTCAGAATCTTCCTTCAGGTAATTTTGGTAACTTGGATTCGAAGCGATACTTTCCACTGTAGTTAGCCTTGTCTTCAGTAAACACTCTCTCCTAAATCATGTTTTCTTACGGTGTTTTTCAGTGATGAAGTCACAAAGTTGATGGGCAAAGGACGCCGTCATCTCGTTTGCAACGAAGTCGTGCAAGCTGTCAAATGCTTTGAGGAAGCAACTCAGAAGTTGTAAGTCTTCAATTTTTGTTTTTAACTTGTTCATGTCCTCTTAAATTGAAATACAGCAAGAGTGAACACTTATTTTGAGTGTTGACTGGCGGATTTACGGTGAAATCTGTTACATACTACAAGCCCTGTGAATTTCAATTTTCAAACGCAAGATTAACTGCGTTTTGACAAACGATTGAATCAAGTCTTACTTTCAATGTTAGTATTCATCAGCAGTTACTTAACGGATACTTTCAAGACTTGATTTCTTAGAACAAGGCTTTGAATCGTAAAAACTTCGCAATTCTGCACGTGGAGTTATCCATTGTGCATTTAAACTTCCATTGAAGTACACACAAAAATGTGTACAACTTCCACGCCGTTCCTAGCAAGAATTTTCAATCGCATGGGCAGCTGTGGCTGAACTTGACATGTGAGAAGCTTTTTATGGGAATATCATGGCACAAATGTTTTTTGAGCGTCTGTAGAAAACTTCCAACTTGTGAATAATTATAACTAACTTTAGATTCCTCATCAAGGTACAGACTGTAATTATTTTATAAAGCTTTATCACTTATTCTATTTTTAACACTTTTTAATCACAATAGAGATGGCAAATACGGCCCAGGTGCTGATGAATGTGGTGAAGCATACCTCTTCTTTGGAAAGTCCTTACTAGAACTGGCAAGGTAAATGTTATCATGACGATTGGGGTCCACTCCCTCCTTCCTCTCTAGTAACTGTAAGACTCCCCCCCCAAATGACAGTTTTGCTACTCAGTCACTTGCAACTAAAGATTCTGAACATTCTGGTGTAGTTGTAAATGCAATTTTCATAATGCACATTTTTGATGTGTTTTAGTTTAAACTTCCAGAATAAATGGCAATTCTGAGAAGTTAGTCTTTATTGATGTTGGAAACTTTTCAGAAGAAAAACATGTTCAAAGTAATAAATTTTGCTAGGTTTTACAAGTTCCCCTCTCTTCATGCAATATTTTGGAGAATAAATGTGGAGACTGGTAGTATTCATATACTTTAATGGATTACCTTTGCAGAGCAGAAAATGGTGTCCTCGGAAATGCACTGAAAGATGGTAAGCATGGTGTTCTGTTGAATTTGAATTTCACTATACTTCATGAATATAAAAAAGTAATGTAATTCTAACCACAGTAAAATGCATTAAAATATAGGGCAAGAGTACCATATAACCCCATTCATTAATTATGCATTCAGACTAGTAGACTTTGTTTTTAAAGTTTTGTCGTGAAAGACAAAGAAGTGGAATGCATAATTAATGTATGGGGTTATATGGTACTCTTTCCATATATATCACTTGAAACTTACATATTAGTTATGACTCCTTTAAATTATTCTATAGCTGAACCAAAAAGTGAAGAAAGCAGCGATGAAGAGGAGGAGAAGATGGGGGCAGGTGAATTAACTTTCCTTTTAAAAAGGCTGTATCGCTTTAAAGAGCTCTACAAACTTGTGTATATTTATACATACATATTTCATACGTACATTCATATATACATACATACATACACTTTATTTTTTCTCGAATTTAAGAGTAGCTTGTAAAAACTAATTTTTGTGCATTGTTCCACTCTTGATGTTTAATTTCCTTGAAGTGGTCCAATTTTCTTTTTACCAGAGCAGGGCTTTGGACTAGTATTGAGAGGTCTGGGTTTGAGACGTGGCCAGGTTATGGTGTTGTATGCCAAAACACTATAGCCGCACAGTCTCTCTCTCTCTCTCTCTCTCTCTCTTNACAGGCTCTACAGTTAGAGCACACCTTCTTGACATCCTCAGTAGAGTAAGGTAGGTTCTTTGACCTTACAAAGTGCAACATCCGTGTGACACCAGGATGGCATAGTGCAACATGAATTTCGCTGAGGCTCGTTGTCGGCATAGAAGCTGTGAATGCTCGGGTAAATGAGTCCGGAGCAACATTGTCCTTCCCAGGTCTGTACTCCACTGTATAACTAAAGGAGGCCAGCTCAAGTCTCCAGTCCTGAATCTTATTGTTCTTTACTTTGGTACGTTTTCGGTTGTCAAACATGAATGCTACTGACTGTTGATCTGTCTTTAGTGTAAAGTGTCTACCTGCAAGGAAATGGCGCCATTTTCGGACCGCCTCGATAATGGCCATGGCTTCTTTCTCCACAGCAGGATAGTGTAGTTCACTTCCTTGGAGTGTCCGGGACATGAACGCAACAGGTCGGCCACCTTGATTTAGTGTAGCTGACAGAGCGGTTTCTGATGCGTCGGTCTCCACTATGAAGGGCAGACTTTCATCAATTGAGTGAAGGGAAGCTTTCTCCAGCTCCTTTTTCAGTGTTGTGAATGCACTTAGGGCATTGCCATCAAGGGGAAATGTAGTTGCTTGCGACAAAGGCTGTATCTTTTCAGAAAAGTTTGGTACCCATTTTGCGTAATATGCAAACATCCCAACAACTCTTTTGAGAGATTGGAGGTTTTCTGGAGGAGGAAATTCTCTAAGGGGACGAAGTCTTTCTTGGTCTGGGGCGATGAGGCCATTGCCAACGCAGTAACCGAGTAGGTTGATGGACGTCTTAGACTCTACTGTCTTGCTCTCATTCAAAGTGAGCTGTCGTCGTTGTACAGCTTCTCTGAATTTCTTGACATTCTCATCATGCTCTCGCTGGTCATGCCCTGCAACAGTTATGTTATCCAGGTATGGGAATGTATCCTTCAAGCTTTCTTCCTCTACAAACTTGTCCATTGCTCTCTGGAAGACTGCAACGCCATTTGTGACCCCAAATGGAATGCGGCAGAACTGATAGAGTCTACCATTGGCCTCAAACCCAGTATATTTCCGATCGGCATCTTTGATTGGCACCTGGTGATAAGCGCTTTTTAGATCAAAAGTTGAAAACACCTTATACAAAGCCAAATTGTTGACCATGTCGTCGATACGGGGCAGGGGATAAGCATCAAGTTCTGTGTACAGGTTAACAGTTTGTGAATAATCAATGCACAGGCGTTTCTTATGGCGCTGTAGGGGGTCTTTTGAGATGACAACTTGAGCCCTCCACGGAGAGGTGCTAGGTTCAATAATGCCTTCGGAGAGTAGGCGGTTAGTTTCTTGATGTATGAATTCTTGGTCCTCCTTGCTGAACCGAGGTGACTTGCGATTGGTTTGCATCCTGGAAGGAGATTTGCAAAAAGGGATGGTTCCTCAATCGAAGCTTTCGCGAAAGCACACACTGGTGTTGAGTTGGGAATTTTGAGTTCAGGTTTTTTACCTCCATACTCTATGACAACACTTTTATGCTTCCTTTGGAAATCCTGGCCGAGGATGATATCACTGCAGAGATCCTTTAGTACCCCCAGGTGCACAGATGGGTAGAATTGGTGGCCTATCTTGATATTTACATAACAGTGGCCTAGGACTTTCGTTGTCAGAGAGGTGAGAGCCATAGATAGGTCCTGATCAGACTGATGTAACTCAAGATCCATTTGCATAGCCACCTTTTCATTTATGTAGCTGTCTGAGCTCCCAGAGTCAACGAGAGCAGTCAGAGTGACATCACAGATAGTGGCCTTAAGGGATGCTTGCATGAGACTTTGTGGGCAAGCAGCGCTTATTGAGCAGAGAGATGGTGAGATTATTGAAGCCGTTGTTTTAGTCATTCTTGACTGGCATACTTTAGCATAGTGACCACTTTTACCACAGTTGTTACAGGTACAGTTACGTGCAGGGCAGTCTTTCCTATTATGAAGAGAGCCTCCGCAGAAATAGCATTTCCTTGAGGGCATGACAGCAGCAGTCATGTGATTATCGTTTGGTGTGGACATTCCAGCACTATTTTCGAGAGCCGAAATTAACGCCGCTGAACTGCCAGGTATTACACAAGCTTCGGAATTCTTCTGGGCTAAGTCCAACGCGCTAGCTTGGTCGAATGCAGACTTCAGATCAAGTTGTCTATTCTCCAGAAGTCGTTGTCGGATTAATGGAGATAGCAGCCCATTGATAAAAGAGTCACGAATCAGTTCTTCTCTGTATTGTTCGGCGGTCACGTTCTTTACATTGCAATCCTTACTTAACCTCCGAAGTTCCTGTAGAAACTCGGAGAGTGACTCCCCAGGGTTTTGACGTCTCGTTGCGAGGAGATGGCGAGCAAATATTTCATTTGGAGGTTTGACATACAATCGATTAAGGGCTTCAATGGATGATTCGTAGTCTGGGCAATCTTCGATGTACTCGAACACGTTATGTGACACATAATTTACAAGAGTGCGATGTTGGTCGGGAGCTCGTTCACCACATTCTCGAATGAAATTCGTAAATGTCTGGAGCCAATGCTTCCATTCTTTCGCTGCTGACGGCGAATTCGGATCCAAGTCGAGACGTTGTGGCTTTAGCAGGGTTTCCATGTTGCTGATATGAGAACTAAGTGAAGTAAATTGTTGAATTCGAACCTTTAATAGGCCTTACTTCACTTAGAACCTAACTAAAGACTAAATACAAGATGGCGGTTACGATAATAAATAGCCATAAAGTGAAACCGCTGGTCATGCAAAATGCGGGCAGGGCACAGGGAGCCCAGCCTTAACAACAGAACGGCAATATTACAACATTCTCCCTCCCTTAAAACGTAGCTAACTAACAGGGGGAGGCAGTGTTCAATGTTC